TAAATTAAAGACGGGGACGCTAAACAGACTTCCACCACCCAGGAGCCAAGTAGAGGTGATGGTTTAGAGCAGGGGTCTCTCTCCAGACTTGGGAACTTTTAAGACCTGTGGACTTCAATTTCCAGAATTCCCCACCTGGCCGTGCTGGTCTAGGAGTTTTAAGTCCACAAATCTTTAGAATTGCCAAGTTTGGAGACCTCTGTGTTAAAGGCTTCTAGTGCCCCACCTGGGACAGCCCAAAGATATAGGTTCATCTTCTCTAAAGGTTACTAGGCCTGGGAGGGTAATGCTATACCATCCTCCTGAATTTACCTGGGTTCAGGGTTGGGAGATGTACCTTGTTGTTTAATCCAGTCCTTTTTACCTGCAAACGAGGAAGAAAGTTCTCTCTCTTTTTTTTTACGCTTGATAAGGCTTTGTGCATCCTGATCTGTACTTGAGGATTTCAGAGAAGTTAGAATAAAATATATTCTTCCTTGCCTGTTCCACCCGTCTCTGAAGAATGTCCTTTTGGTTTTATTCAGCCTGTGAATGTTTATCATGTGCAGGTAATTCCATGGTGCCGACCGTAGAGGGAAAGTTGGAGAAAGGAAAAGATAAGTGTAGTTTTAACAGCAGAAGTGTCTGCTCTGCTTGTAAAGAGGCTGCCGCTTCCTCCTAATCTGTGCCTTGTCCAATGTGCTACGCATTCCGACCCCCTTCCTGTGCGTTGTTGTGTTCTCACAATCCGACTGCCTCTCTGGAGGGACCATTTGGTTGCTTGGGTGAACTTCGCATTATGTAAACAACTTGACCAATTAAAAAAAAAAAGCTTTTTTCCAGAAAATATATTCTGCTACTCTTTTTCTTTCTTAATTTTTTTTTTTTTTCAAGAGACGACACACTCTGGGTCCTTTTAAATTTCTAAACATGTGGAAAGTTCTTTATGCTTTCCGGGCCAACAGGTTGCAGAAAGAACGTGGCTTGGGAAATGCGTGGGAATCCCAGCTCGGTTGAAAGATCAGACTTGGGCAAATCACTTGGGAGCTTCTCATTTGTTGAGCAAATCCCAACTACTGGATTCCTATAATATGCCATGAATCGTTGCTTATCAAACACAGCTACAGAAGGCAAATCAAAAGTACATAAAAGGCAGCTTTAATTCAATTATTTGGTAATTTGATCATATCGAAGGAAATTCATTTTCTGTAGCTATTGGGGGTTGTAACGTCGGTATCCTTTCAGAAGGTACCAGTATCTGAATGAAGCTTTGAGGTTGGTCCTCCCCATTCCTGGATTTAATCCCTAATCTGTTAACTGAAAGGGAGGGTCCTTTTTCTGTATCTGTTTGAGCCATGGTGGCACAGTGGTCAGAGTGCAGTACTGCAGGCTACTTCTGCTGTTGCCAGCTGCCTGCAATTTGGCAGTTTGAATCTCACCAGGATGAAGGCTGCCTCAGCCTTCCAGGCTTCCGAGATCCATAAAATGAGGACCCAGATTGTTGGGGGCAAGAGGCTGACTCTGTAAACCGCTCAGAGAGGACTGTGAAGCACTGTGAAGCGGTATGTAAGTCTTAAGTGCTATTGCTTATTGCTATCTTGGGTGCAGCTCTGAGTTAAATTCCAATAATTGCTTTTAGAAGGGGAAATCCCTTTTGAAGCACAGCTGAAATCCAGCCAGACCAGATCATGAGGCTTGGGGTGGCCAGTGCAAGTCTCTGCAAAATTTGCCCAAGATGGCAAGAACAAAGTCAAGTGAGTCACTGGAATTCTCCACTAGACAAATCTGATTGGGATTCGAAGATAAGCGGAAAAAAATGCTGGTGAACTTACTAAAAACACACACTCAACCGGTGAAAACATTTATGATAGAAGAGTTGCAATCTCGGTCTCCTAAATTATAATAGAGCTTATCCTTCAGCAAGGTCTTCAAATCACCAGCCTGAATTGAGAAAACTTGAAGAGGAAGCTTGAAGTCTTTTACTGAAGTGGGTTGTATTCTTTCCCAGTTCCCTCCCTCTAATCTGATGATATCAACTTTGGGAAAAAGTGAAGGGAGTTTTCCTAGTTTTGCCCCCTCTTCGCTGTTTTCTAAGCATTTTTACTTCCTGCGAGAAACCCCATCTTCAGCCATCAAAATGAAACAGGACAAGCAAAAAAATAAAATAAAATAGGCGCATATCTGACCGATTTCATCTTAAAGGAAAGAATCTGAACCGGACATCAGAAGAACTTTTGAGACATCGCAATCTGTTGAGGTAATCAACACGCATCCGAGATAACCCTGATTTACAGTTTGTGAATTAGAACAGCGTGTCCTTTCGAAACTTGCCTCTGTGCCCTCGCTGATATTCCGTATAAAAAGCCATGTGGTTGGCTAATGACCTCCTGAACTGCTCTGTGGAAATTTCCTGAGGATGATTACAAGACCACAACAGAACACATGCAGCTTATCTTCAACAGAATCGCTCGCTTTCTGCCAGAGAAAACACGGTCTGTTGAGCACCCTTGGCAAGAGATAGAGGCTGTCTTGGGGCACATCTGGAAACTAACCAAGGAGAGAACCAACCTACAACTAAGGATAAATTTCCTGACACAATTAATCACTTTCTTCCAGAACTTGGTGCTCCAACACTGGAGGTTTTTAAGAGACTGGACAACCATTTTATCTGGAACAGTGTAGGTTCTGCTTGAGCAAGGGGTTGGACTAGAAGACCTCCAAGGTACCTTCCAATTCTTTTACTGTTACTTAAGCCTCCCTATAGGGGCTACTCAAACAGTATAATGCTCCCCCTCTTGACTGAAGAAAGCTTTGGATGGTACAGGGTTGTTCCTTCTTGCCTCTTAAGGCCGCTTGACCTCTGAAATATCAGTCAATTGGTTTTCTTAAATCATGGCCATTAAACCAAGAAACCCAGCATTTCCCAAATACATTTGTCACTCTGCTGTAGTCACTTGTTGCACCACATTCATTGCATAAACCACAATTGATGGGCCCATGCCTTCATTCTTCCATTCCCTAAAGTTACAAATAGGCCTTAATTTACGACCATTCAATGTTATGACAGAGTCTCCAAAAGCCACTTATGACCTGATTCCAGAGTTCTGACGGCCGCATGCACACTCCTGGGGTGTCACATGACTACATTTCGGCAACCACTTATCAACGGGCTCACCTTTATGGCTGATTGCAACGTTCTACAGTCCCATGACTGATTTATAACATTTTTTTGCCAGTTTCCGGCCTTTTCAAGTGTTTTCTGACCAAAACAAAAACAAAAACCCACCCACAGGAATATAATAACTCCCTTAACGGCTGCAAAAAAAGTGAAATCGCTTCTGGTCATGTGACTGCCTCAATCACCATTGTGAGTGACAGTGGAAATCCTAGGCTCGCTTATGGTTGTAAGTTGAAGACTACCAGTATAGCCTGCTGCATTGGATATCCACTGGCTACGTGAAGCTTAGTATGATGCGTAAGACAGAGTGATATCAGTGAACCACCAATCAAGGGTTGAAAGAATTAGGTTCCAGTGTGCTTGTGTGTCTCTTTCTCTCTCTGTCCCTGCAGGGAGGGAACAATTTTGTCCTTTACTTTGAGCAGCAAAATATTTTGGTCCCAATTTCGTACCATGGACAACATCAGTATCACTGCAGCCTCCTTCCTCCAAACACCAGTTCTGGGGTTCATACATGCAATTAATTCTTCCACCACTGCATCAGCAATCCAAGATCTACATAAATTCCCATGAGTGACCAAGGGAATTCTGGAGGAGGAAACTGTCTTTGTGCTGGGCAGCGTAAGGTCGTTTCCCTCCACTGCAGCCCTTCTCTAAACATTCCTCCTTTTTTTTCTCATCCAGTTGAAAGCCCCTTTTTGGAAAAAAATTACATTTGGGGGGCGATACGAGTTCAAATATCAAATACTTTTTTTTTTCCTCTGGCTAAACTGTCCTCTTCCTCATTCTATATCTGTGTCTATTTATAATGGAGGGTAGAATAAGTTCTAGTCCCAATGGAATTGACTTTAAAAAAAAAAAAAAAAAAACCTTTCAAACTTATGGGAACGAGATTTTAAAACAATCCTCAAAACATATCTGATTTGGCACCGAATCAAGAACATCAAGCGGCATGCAAAAAATCAATGCCTTTTTGCCCTGTGTGTCTGTTTATCCTAGATGGCGTTTTGCAGACAGGTGACAATCGCTGCTGGGATTCCAAGTTTCCCTGCTATATTTCTCTTCACGGCTCTATTTCCAGCAGCTATAAAGCAGAGCTGGGCGCTTAGTTGTGAGCCAAGGTTGCGTTTGCCATAATCCACGAGGTTGTTTCTAGACAGCACTTCCCATGGTGTATAACCGGCGTGGGCGCTCAGGCCACCTGCAAATAGATGAGATGGTCAAAACTGTCACCTGTTTGGCTAATCTTTGGAAACGGCTTAGTTGAGGATACTCTTTTTCGACCCTCTGTTTCCTGGTCCTGTCTTGCCATAGCGGAGCAGGGTGTCCATAAAGTGTAGCCAAAATCCTGTTCGTGGCCTGCCCAGGGCAAGAAAGCTTTCCCATTTCTATGGGCACTGGATATGCGCCACATTGCCGGACTGCTGTCCTCTCCATGCCTAAAATGTGGGAAGAGAAAGAATGCCTTCCAACAGAAGAGGACCACAGAAGAGGACATGTCAGCCAACATCTCACTGATGTTGAGATTGAGCATTCCAGAGCGAGGAAGGATGAAAATGTTTCTATTTTCTTGGATATAAGTAGTTCCTGACTCTCTTGAGAGACAAAAGAAAAGGGAGAACTGGTGAGAAGAAGACGGGGAAAACTTTATGCCCTTGCTGTTGACTGAAGTAACAGTGTTCTGCTGATGCTTGTGAATCATTGGTTGCTGTCATGCAGAAATGACAGATGAAGTCACTTAATGCCTGAGTGTTCACCAGCTGCCCATTTGTTCCAAGTCGTCGCTAATATTCTGCAGGGAGAAAATTAAATATTTTTCTCTTCCAGAAACTCTATTGTTAAGTCAATGTTTACTCATTGCTCGGTTCCTCTACAAGGAACAAGAGGCGGAAAATACCGATAGAGACTGACATGTAAATCCTTTTTTGGAAAAAGTTCTGAACTTTTGATTCCGGAGCACAAAGCAGCCATTAAATAGCTAATCATCCTCAGTGATGGAACATACCTTGATGGATAAAAATGGGTCTTCTGCACAATCTGGGGCAGAAAAGGCGAGTGAGAACTTGACCTCTTCCAGTTTCTCATGCAGTCTTCTCTCGCAGATCCACCGCGAATGGTTTCTGCAGACCTGGAAAAGCCACAAATGAAGTGCTCAACATTTGTACATGTTATGAGCGGAGTAAATTAGCAACAGAGTTTTCCCTTGCTGGTTTTCCACAGGAAAAAAACTCTTCAAAGCTGCCCCAGATACATATTTTTCTCCTGGGACGGAAGAAGATGTGCAGCTGGGCCTCTCAACAGAGAGGGGTTCCCTTGTGGGAATGGGATGAGAGAGATCCCGTCGGACATCCTCGCTCAAATATTGGAGCTCCCTGAGGGATTTGGGGGGACTTTGCTCCAACTTTGATTTCTCAGCCCATGCTATCTTGCTGAATTATTAGTGTTAAACAAAAGGTAATGGAGCCTTGCCCTGCCTTGTCAGTACTGTAAAAACTAGGTAACACCATAGGAGTAATAATAAAAGTGTCAAATTCACCTTCTACCGTCTTGTAGCCGTAGCTCTCAAAAAGTTCTTGAGAACTTCCAAGGAGGCTTTCAGAAGAGACAGTCAGTTGGCTTCCTATCTATCCGGGAACTAACGTGGCCTCAATTTTAATGTCACGTAAAAGGAAGATGTCTCAAATCATACGATTGTGGCCATCTTGATATTTTGATTGCCCCCATCCCTACAGACCATCCCTCTCGGCAGAGATGGAGAATCACAAATTTTGCCCAAAGGTTGAATTCCATGCCTGTTGTTTTGTTTCAAGAAAAAAAACAACAATCCCATTTAATAGAGAACCGAGTCAGGCGTCTTGCTCCATTTGTCTCTCCTGTGCAGCGCCCACCCACCTAATTTATCCCCCCCCCC